GGTAGCCCCATGGCTGCCCCCAGCCCCGTTGGCATCCCTAGCTGGCCCTGTCCACCACCACCCCACCTGCCAGGACCTGGAGAACCCCATGGATGCGCCTGTGGGGTGGCTGCACCGGGGGGACATTGGGGATCTGGTGGAGCTCAGCGGGGATGAAGATGAGGCGCCGCGGGTCACTGAGGGTGCCGGGGCTCCAGGTAGGGTTGGGGAGCCAAGGTGGGGGGAGCAGGCCTCAGGGCTAGCCTGTGACCATGACTGCACCCTGGGCCCTCTGTGCCCCAGGTGCCCCCCACACCCCCGACACCTTGGAGAAGAAGCAGGTGAAGAGCAAGCTGAGGCACTTCATCATCAAGCGGCCCCCGCTCCAGAGCCTGCAGGAGAAGGGACTCATTCGAGGTGGAGCTCCCAAGCTGCAGGACCTCCCCCCAAGTTCCACCACGCTCTCAGGACCCCCCCCAAACGGGTGCCCGAGTGCTCCCCGAAGGTTTGGGTGGCTGTCCCCAGTGGGTCCCAGTGCCGCCCCCCCGCCCAACACGCCCCCGGGCCCCCCCCCAAACGCTCCCACATCCTCTATCCTCTGTTCCTGCCCCGAGTCCCTGGGCACCCATTGGTCCCAGTGTCCCTCCCAAGTCCCAGCATCCCCTCCTGGTCCCTGTCCCCCTCCTGATCCCAGTGTTTGTCGTCGTGTGCCCCGCCCCCCGGGTCCCAGAATCCCCCCCCTCAGTCCCTGTGCATCCACCAGTCCCAGTGTCTCCCTCCAGTCCAGCATCTCTTCCTGGTGTCCCTCCCTGCCCTCACCATCACCCTCCCAGTCCCCAGCATTCCCTCCTGGTCCCTGTACCGTCCCTCCAGTCCCATGTGCCCATCGCCAAGTCCCAGTGCTCCCCCATCCCAGTTTGCCCCAGTGCTGCCCTCTCCCAGACCAGGTGTTCGGGTGCAGCCTGGATGCCCTGTGCCAGCGGGAGAGCACCACCGTGCCCCGCTTCGTCCAGCTCTGTGTGGAGGCCATTGAGGAGAGAGGTAGGGCCCTCCCAGCTGGCATGCCCCCTGCAGCTGGCACAGACTTCCCCCACCATGTCTTGCCCCCCTCATTGTCCCCAGGCCTTGATGTTGACGGGATCTACCGGGTCAACGGGAACCTGTCCGTGATCCAGAAGCTGCGTTTTGCTGTGGACCGGGGTGAGGAGACCAGGGGGACACAGGATGGGGGTGCTGGGGAGGGGACAGAGGAACTGTGTTGGAGCACATGCCCAAGGATGGGGGAAGGTGGCTTCTCCCCGCATGAACCCTCCTTCGTCCCCACAGAGCGAGCTGTGACCTCGGATGGGCGCTATGTCTTCCCCGAGCAGCTGTGCCAAGGTCAGCCAGGGTGGCCAGGCAGGGGGTGGCCCTGGCGGTGCTGGGGCCTTGGGGGGCCCAGGCGCAAGCTGACCTCCCCCATTCCTCCCAGAGGAGCGGCTCAGCCTGGCAGACTCCGAGTGGAGCGATGTCCACGTGGTGACCGGTGCCCTCAAGCTCTTCTTCCGGGAGCTGCCCGAGCCCCTAGTGCCCTACAGGCTCTTTGACCCCTTCATTGAAGCTATCAGTAAGTGCCCCCCCTGCAGTGCTCCCCGTGGGCATCCCCAGGCTATGGGTGCTGGGGGGGCACCATGTCTGACTGCTGTGGCTCCCCGCCAGAGCTGCCAGACCCCCAGGAGCAGGTGGAGCGGGTGGCTGAACTGGTGCAGAGCCTGCCCCCTGCCAACTATGCCACCCTGCGCTACCTCCTGGCTCACCTCTGCCGGTAAGGGGAGTGCCACTCCCGGGCTGGGGACAGCTGTGGGGTAGTTTTAGAGCTGCCTCACAGGTGGATGGGCTATGGGGTAGTATGGGGTAGCTGGGAGGGTATTGGGTGGCATTGGGTGGCGATTAGGGCCTGCCGGAGTGATGGAGCCGTGGCACATGGACCCCCTGGGGTGATGCAGGGAGGACCAGGGCTGGATGGGGTGCATGGGACCACCCCCCAACCCTGCGCATCCCCAGGGTGATGGAGCGGGTAGATGTCAACCGCATGACATGCCAGAACATCGGCATCGTGTTTGGGCCGACGCTGCTGCGGCCGGAGCGGGAGCCGGTCAGCCTGGTGGCGGGCATGGCCCAGCAGAACCAGGCTGTGGAGCTGCTGCTGGCACACTTTGATCGCATCTTCCCCGCGCCTCCCTGAGCCTGGCCCCACCTCTCCAAGTCAGGCATGGGTGCTCTGGCTGCCAGTGCCCCTTTCTACCCCCCCCAGTCCTCCCTGCCCCATGTACCTTCAACTCTGCAGTAAACAGGCACCTTCCCTGGGACTGCCAGCACCTCCTGCTGTGACCAGGGTTGGGGCAGTCTGCAGCACCGACAGCCACCCACCTCCCACCACCTCCCCAGAGAACGTCATCATCCAGGCATATGGTAGCCCCCAAATGCCCTTCCCTTTGCCCCCTGCCATGTCCTGTACACCTCCCCCAGGTCATTACAGCGCTGATTTATTTCCACCATTCATTAAATACATATCCATCACCATCAGACCCTCCCCCAGGAAAGGCCCCCGGCTCTGCTGGCACAGCCAGTGCCAGGGCAGGATCTGGCCATACCAGGGCTGGGGGTCTCTCTGGGGTGTGCTCTGGGGTGCCTGCACACCCCTCCACCTGCCCCTGCGGACCCCAGGGTGGGCGACACCACCAGGACTCCGGCCTGCAGGATGCAACGGTCAGTGGATATAGGAGCTGTCACAGCGCCCCATCAGGGTCACCATCCCCCTGGGCCTTCCTGTGGCCCCCACCCCCTCCCAGGGCCTCAGCACCCTGCCTATGCCCCCCAGTTCCCCGGTTCCCATCCCATTGTGCCCCCAGGACCCACTGTCACCACCTGCTGCTTCTGCATTCTCCCAGTGCCCTCCCAGCTCCCCAGTGCCCCTAGACCCCTGCTCACCAGTTGCACCAGCCACTCCCAGTTCCCAGGCAGCAGTGTCCACTGGATCTGGTTTTGGCCCAGAATGGGCAGGATGTGGAGGGCAGGCAAGGGGTCCAAGAGCTCCAGGCAAGAAGGGGCAGAAGGGGGGCCACTGGAGACTTGGGAGGCACAGGGCCTTAGGGGGCACAGCTGGATCCCAGGTGGCTCCCAAGGAGACACCAGCCCTGCTTTGGGCAGGGACCGATCCAGAGGCTTGTCAGGGGTCTGGGAGGGACCCATTGACGCCCAGGGGGGTCCGCTGACATGGCAGGGCAGCCCTGGCTCCGAGTGGTGGTTGGTGCCTGTGCCATACCCCCCAGGCATTCCGGTGCCAGGGTCCCATCCTGGGCTGGGTGGGGGTCCCAGGAGGTGGAGGGTGTCCCAGGAGACACCAAGAGGTGTGCAGGTGGGTGGTGTAGGAGCTGGTGTGGGAGAAGCATTTCTGACAGCCAGCACAGCAGTAGGGCTGCTTGCCTGGGGGAGAGTGGTTCAGAGGCACCAGGCAGGGGGCTGCGGGGTTGCCCAGGGGCAGCAAAGGGCATAGGGGATGGGGCTTTTTAGGGAATGGGGGGCTTCATGCTATGAGGCTCAGACAGGCTCAGAGTGATGGAAAGGTACAGAGGCTATGGATGCGCTGTATGGGGCCGGGTGATGTGGGCTCACCACTGTGGATGTGCAGATAGTGCCAGGACTTGAAGGTTTTTCCAACACCAGGCACAGGGGGAGCATTGCCGCGTCCTCCCCCCCCACTCCCCGCCTGCAACAAGATGGCAGCTCAGGGCCCCCTCCAATCCCGACACAGCTCCCCTAGCCCTGCACCCCCTGGCATACCTGGCTGGGCAGGGGGCTCCCAGGCACCCCTTCCTCATAGACCTGGGGTGCTGAGAGCGGGGCTCTGCCCGGGGCAATTTGGGGTGCTGGGAGGACCACAACCTGTCTTGGCCCATTCTCGGTGGCATTGTCAGGAGCCAGAGCTGGAGCAGGAGAAGGAACCAGGTGGTCAAAGGTGGTGATGGTGGAGATGGATAGACAGCCCAAATCCCCAGCACCTAAACCCCTGGGCACCCCCCGATACCTCCTCTCCCTGCTGCCCTCACCCTCATCCCAGGGAGGAGCACCCCTGGATCCCCCCAAGGTGACAGAGGGCACGGGTAGAGCTCAGCTCCTTTATCCAGCCCTCACCTGCCCCAGGCTCCCCATCTGCAGGTGAGAAAACGCCCGAGGCCAGCGGCCACCACCACCGGGGGGGGGACCCCACCCTGCTGGGGTCACACCTTGGGTCAGGGGGATCCAGCACTGCCCCCTCAGCCCCACAGACAAAGGGCACCCCCGGGACTTAGACCTTGGGATGGGGATAGCCTGGAACACTGGGTACGGTGAAGGGGTGTGAAAAAGGTTGGGAGCCCCCACTGCGCTCAGAAGACCCTCTCCCCCCCAGGGACACTTGAGGACACACATGCAAATGTGCCCTTGTACCCTGCTCACACACGTTTGGTCTGTATGCCTGTGCGCACGCATGCTCCCCAGTGTACACACAGACCCAGGTATGCCCACACGCATGCACTCCCATACTGCGTGGTGCAGGCACATGTGTGCACACATGCCCTGTCTCACACACGCCCTTGCACACATGCCCTCTTGCATGCATGCCCTTGCACACACACCCTCGCACAAGCACCTGCTCACCCCACAGGCCCCAAAGTGCAAGTTCCCTCCCAGGAGACCAGCTGCTCTCCCCCACACCAGGCAGCCACAGAGAGTGGTATCGGAGAGGTGTCCCAGCTCCCCTGCAGTTGGGGTGCCCTGTGTGGGGTGTGTCAGGGTGATGCTGCCGCACAGATCTTCCCCCTGCATAACCATCCCGTGCATGCTGTGCCCTGGCATCACGTGGACTCCGTCACATGTGACGTGGGGGTCCCAGGTGTCTCCCACTGTGCAATGCCTGGATAAGCTGTGCCCCTCTCCCCCAAACTCTGCCTCCCACAGCCCTTCTCGTGCCAAGGACAAAGCCCCCTGCCATACCCCCCACCCCAGTACAGATTTAAGAACAGGTGCAGAGTGGTACCTATGGTACCAGCACCGAGCACAGCCCTATGGGCACCTACACCCAGACCAGACCTGCCAACAGCAGGAACGAAGCCTGCAGTGTCTCCACCCCTGGCTCCTCAGTCCCCCCAAGCTGCTTGCTGGCCCCAGGTGGGAGGGGGCCACAGCTCCTTCTACCCATCCCAGCTGGAGGGGATCCGCAGGACACCCAAATATAAGCCAGTCTGGAATCCGAGTATATATGGGTGGGAGAGGGGATGCACCCCCAGCCTGTGCCTCAGTTTGCTCAGGTGAACAGGACTGGGGGCTCAAGAAGCCCCTGAATGGCAGGGGCCCCCTGAGAGTGGGTTGCTGCAGGCAGGCATGGCGCCAGGCACACCCCAATCCATCAGTCCCCTGGGATGTGGGTGTTGCGGGTTAACCCTGTAGGCAGCTAAGCACCACACAGCCAGTTGCTCACACCCCCCATCCAGTGGGATGGGGGAGAGAATCGGAAGGGTAAAAGTGCAGAGACTCATGGGTTGAGATAAAGACAGTTTAATAACAAGAAAAAAAAAAGAGAAAGAAAGAAAGAAACAATGAAAAACAAAACCAAGAAAAACAAGTGATGCAAAAAAAGAAACAACTGCTCACCACCAGCCAACCAATGCCCAGTCAGTCCCTGAGCAATGGCAGCCTCAGCAAACTCCCTCCCAGGTTTTTATTGCTGAGCATGACATCCTATGGTCTGGGATATCCCTTTGGTCAGTTGGGGTCAGCTGTCCCAGCTGTGTCCCCTCCGAAGTCCTTGTGCACCGCCAGCCTGCTTGCTGGCAGGGCAGGGTGAGAAGCAGAAAAGGCCTTGAGGCTGTGCAAGCACTGTCAGCAGTAACTAACACATCTCTGTGTGATCAATGCTGTTTTCACCACAAATCCAAAACATAGCCCCATACAAGATAGTATGAAGAAAATTAACTCTATCCCAGTCAAAACCAGTACAGTGAGGCATTGCCCCGCACTCACCCCACACTGGTGCCAGGGCTGTGCCGGGGCTTGGCTGGCCCCTCGGCCATGACTTCCATGGGAGCAGGTCCCACTGGTGTGAGGGCCGGGGGTGGGGGGCAGGCAGGGCACAGAGGGGAAGGTGAAGCAAAGCTCGGGGCGCTATTGCCTGTGTGAGGTCTGGAGGGGCCACCAGAAGCACATGCTGGGGTGTGGGGACTGTGCCCCTGCTCAGACCCTTCCCCTGCACCTACATCCAACACCCCTGGGCCTCTCCTCCTGAACCCCCAAACACCTCCCCACAGCCCCTGGCTGTGACCCCCAGGAGTGACACCACTGGACCCTGCTGTGGCAAGGCGGGCGCGGGTGGACTTCAGCCCCTGTATCCAGCCATTGCCTGTCCAGGTTCCCTGTCTGCAGGTGACAAAATGCCCGCAGTCTGCGGCCCCTACCTGCCCGGGCCCTCCTGCCCCATGCCTGCTGCACAGAGGCAGGGCTCGTGTCCAGACATGGCGGAGAGGTCTTCACCCTCCGGCCATGCATGCAGGGGAGAGAGACAACCCAGACCTCTATCTTCAGCCCAGGCTATTTCACCTCCCACTGAGACACTGGGGACCACAATGGTTCTTCTCCTTCCTCCCCTGGGCCCATGAGCCACAGCCCGGTGCCTGATCCTGCACCCCTGCCGCAAAAGCTGCCACGTTCATCAATTGCTGCAGCAGGACCTGCTTAGAGCGCAGCACCTCCGCATCGCAGGGGTAATGTAGCTTTCTGCAACACTGCATGGGCCCTGGTTACCCCTCCACAAAACAAGTAAAAAGCATCAACTGGACTACAGAACCAGGGGTCACATCGACCACCATGATTTAGTGGTCAGAACAGTTTCCTGGAGCCCCATAAAAGCAGCCACTCTTTTACTTCTGTACACATTCCCCCAGTCTTCTCAAGCAGCACTGTGCAAGTTCATGTCACCTGCTCTGGGAACACAGGGAATTGCCAAAGCAAGGGTGCTGTTAAACCACACCCACTCCCCACACCCGTATGAACAAGACTGGCAATTTGCTTAGCACAGTGATCTCCAGAGTGGAGTGGGGGAAGAAAATATTAAACCTTCTGTTTCATTTTTACCTAAAAAAAAAGAAGAAAGAAATTAAGCTGTATTTACATTTATTATACAGCTGATCACTGACACCCTCACTCAGTCTG